GGGGGAGGGGGGGGGAATGTGCTTTGAACAAGAACCCCATAGTGGAGCTGGCTGCGGGAGCGCAAGCAAATGCGGAGCCAGCCTGGGAATGTTTCACTTTGGGGGGCAGATTTCCTCTTGGTTCCGACCCCTCGGTGTCAGCTGGCTCGTGTTTGCACGGTGCTTGGAAGCGCCAAGTCTGGTGGTTGATTGTCTCCTGTGACAAGCAAATGCCCCGCAGCCTGGCAGCAGCTTTTTCTGGGTCCCCTGCGTGGGGACCTGCCTGTTGCTGGGAAGAGGGGGCTGGCTAAGGATCGGAGAAGGGGGCTGTTTCTCTGCAGGAGGCTCCGGTTGTGCCCTGTTGACGCAGGCTGCTTTCTGCCTCCTCAGGGGACCAGCTGTTGAGCCAAAGCCCAGGGTGCCTCAGCCAAGATGGGGATGCAGAGACACAGCAAGGCACGGGAGCCAGGGACCTTGCTTGGTTTTTTCCCTGTGTTGCGTCTGGTGGCCAGTTGCCGAGGTCTAGTGACTGAGCAATTCTGGGTGCACCGCGGCCGTGGGCACTGTGGGCCGGGGGTGGCAGACCTGTGATTGCTTTGGGGTGGTAGAGAGAAGGGCCGATACTTAGCCTGGGGTCTGTGTGGACTCTCCAGCTCCTCCCCATGCTTGGGAGCCAGATGCACAACCCTCTGGGCGTGTGTCCAAGGAGCAGTTCTAACCTCAGTACTGGTAGCCCCCCGGGGGCGGTTATGGGTGCGGTCCGGCAGGTGTTTGGCTGTAATAATAATCCCTAGCTCTTCTATAGCACTTCTGATCAGTAGATCTCAAAGGAGGGGGCAGTATCAGGATGATCAGCATTTTACTGGTGGGGAAACTGAGGCACGGAGTGGGACGGTGACTGGCACAGGTCGGTAGAGCCCAGTGCTCCTGCATGGCAGAGCCTCGTTCTCCTCCAGAGGCTAATCCCTGGTGCCCCAGTCGGGGCTGGGCTGGAGGAGGATGCAGCCTGGTGTGCTACTAAGGAAGCCGGGGGGACCCAGACAGGGTGTCTGGAAGCTGATCGGTGGAGGGGGGGTGCAGTCTCCACCTTGGCTGAAGCCTCTTCCGGCAGGAGAGCAGAGCTGAGATGGGGAAGGTGGTGGAGTGGGCACCGGCGCGTCTGTTTTCTCTCTCGCTTCCAGCCCCTCCGGGCTGTCTGGCTGCCGTTTGCTTTCCCAGGCTGAGCCCTGGGGACTGGGGGGAGGTGGGTAGCTTGCTCTCGGCTCCAGCTGCAGCCCCTGGGGTCCGTGGGTAAATAAAGCGCCTGTGTGCCCGGCCAAGGCAGCCGTGCCTGGGGATCTCATTAGCCCACAGTAGCATCTACCTGGCTGAGGGGTCGTCGGGGGAGCCAGGCTGCGCCACCGGAGGCTGTAGCAGGAATCTGTAACCTGGCTCCATCTACACGGACGAGACTGGACCACGTGCCAGAGGGGCCAGGCCGTGCGCAGGCCCCCTCCTGCCTGTGCTGGGCTCCTCATGGAGCGGGCTGCTCTCCTGCCCAGCGGTGGGTGCTCCCGCGGGCACCAGGTAGGGGGTAGGGGGGCTGGAGAATGACGCCAAGTCCCTTGCCCGCTGATCTGTCTAAAATGGGGTGCAGTGTGTGGGGGGGAGGGGGCGAGCAGACCCTGTTGGGAGCAGTGAGCTCTGCAAGCTCCCAAGGTGTGTGCCATGGATGATTTCCCTTGGCACTGGCAGTGCGGCCCGCCCCTCCCCTCCCGTCTCCTCCTCGGGGACTCCTGCTTGGCCGGTGACGTCCGGGGGCCAGTCTCCCCTGCCCGTCTCCACCTGGCAGTGGCTGGAGGCCACACGCCCTTGCCTCTCTGTTTCCCGGCTGCTTCGTTTCTCTCCGTCGGTCCAGGATCCGTGACCGGACTCTTAAGGAGAAGGGGCAGGAGCCCAGGAGGCAGGCAGCCCGTTTGCTGCGGTGTTGGCCAGCAGGCCGCTCAGCGCTCCCCAGCACGGTGCTGTCACTTGTGCCTGTCACAGCGGGCGCTGCATGATCCATAGGCACTGCCCTGCCAGAGACCCTTTTCTTTACTGCCCCCCCTGCTCGCTCACTTTTCCCTTTTAGGGCCCTTCCCGGGGCCTTACTAATAAACTCTGCGTCAGGGAGAGAAAATGTATTCCTCCTGGCGCAAGCCAAACATGGCCGCCTTCTGTGTGCTGCTTTGCCTGCCTTGTGGTGCCTGGGAGCAGCGGGGTCGCAGGCCATGGTCCTGTGGTCTGCGGGCTCCTTGAGGCAGGGCCGTCTCGCGCTGGGTTTGTACGGGGTCTGGGGCGGCGGGGCCTGAGCCCGGCTGCTGCCTCTAGGCGCTGGGTTAATGCAAACGGGAGCCGGGCCGTTCGTTTGCACTCCCGGCCCGACGCTCCTGGAGGGAGATTGGAGGAGGCGTTTCTTTCGGCCGTGGGGAGAAGCACGCCCCTGCCAGCAGACTCGCAGGCGGTGTTAAATTGAGCGTTGGCACAAGTGGGTGTCTCCTCCGTGTCTGTCAAGCCCCGCGCGGGTATAACATTTGTATCCGCCTCCAAAATGAGCTGTGGATATTGGCGTCCAGGCCTGCGAATTTGCAGGGCTCTTCCTCTCTGTTGTGTCGAGAGCCAGTCTCTGCAGAATTTAGGGCCACACGTGGGCTCGGCTCGGGCTCCCCAGGGGTTCGGTGACGTGGCTTTCACTTGACGTTTTCTTTCTCGTAAGTGTGACGAGGCTCTTGTGCTCGGGCGGGACTTGCCGGGGGTTCTGAAGGTGGCCAGGCGAGGGCACTGGGTGAGGGCAGGTCTCCACGACGGGCTGTGTTGGATCCAGCAGGGCTCGGTTTAGCAGGGAGGCAGGCGAAAACGACCGCCGAGCGTTCTCCGGTATTCCACCCCCACGAGATGAGGAAGCGGGGTTGACGGGCGGGTCAGCTGCCGACTTGCTGCAGGGAAGAGACCGGGGTGAGTGGCTGTAAGCACGTCGAATTCTGCCACGTTCTTCCTGGGGCTGAAATGGCGTAACTTAGGTGGACGGTGTAGGTAAGGCCTTCTGTTTCACAACCCCAGACCTAGCCCCGTCTCCTGCTCCAAGGGGTCAGACTGTTCCTTGTTTGTCTCTCCTCAGTGAGGCTGGATTGGAGGGTTGTGGATGGAAAGACGGCAACGCACAGCTCCGGAGGCAGGTCCGCCGTGCCTGGGGTCTGGTTAGAACACAGGAGCACCCCGACCAGGTTACAACAAGGCATGGCCCGGCCCTGCTGCAATCGGCACGTAGACCGAGAGCCAGACTCTGGGTCTGATGTTCTTCTCATGACCAGGCCTGTTCAGGAGGGGGTTGTGTTGTGCAAGGCAGAATTTGGGTGGCTTTGGTGTGAGGCGTGGTGGCTTAGGGTTGCCAGGTCTCGGAGCACAGGGCTCGTCCTCCTGGCATGTTGGAAAGACGTTTTTCCTGGTCGCTGGTTACTGAAGAGCAATGCTAAGTAGGGATGTTAACCGGCATGAGGTTTACCAGTTAACCGGCCCTTGCCAGGGAACTCCAGCGGGGAGCAGCCCCGGCTGTGGTGGGGCTGGTGGATGGGACCCCCGATCCTGGCTGCAGCAGGACTCCCCGGTCACGGTGGGGCTGGCGGGCAGGCCCCCGCAGTGGGGAGAGGCAGCCAGGGCTAGGTTAAAAGGGTTAACCGGCTCCGTGCTGTCGTTTAACCGGTTAACTAATTGAACACCCCTCGCAGTAAATCTGATACTGTGCCGAGGCTTTGCGGGAGGATGGCAGTCACGGGGTAGACGAAGGTCCCTGGGTCCTCCAACGGTTTTGGTTTCCAGCACCCCTTCTGGGCGGCGCGCCGGTCAGCTGTTCTCATGCCGGGTTCCGCCTGTGGCCGGCGCTCCCATGCTGGAGGACGTGGGGTGGTTTGCGGCAACAGAGGGGTCCGGCAGGGTGGCAGGGGCCTGCGGGGTCAGCTGATCGCTCTTAGGAGTCGGGGGAGGGTGTTGACCGGTAGAGGGGCGCAGGGTTCCCCCAAGGAGGAGGTGCATCGCTCGGGATATTTGCTGGGGGGAGGCGATGACTTAGTCTGTTCTCGCCAGAAGGGCGTTCGTCCTCTGGCGGGTTGCCAAGGGACGGGAGAGCAGCGCGGCCCCTTCCGCCAGTGCCGAGGGGCCTCCACCTTCCGCGGATCCACACTGCCGGCGGAATGCACTTGTCAGCCCAAACGCCCCGAGTTCCTCCCTGCTCACCCCCCTGGCAGGGCCCAGTGTTCCCCCAACCGCGGTGCGGCTGGCCGAGAGCCCGGAGCAGTGCCAGGAACGCAGAACTGCTTGGCTGTAGGAGCTGGGGAAGGTACCTGCCCCTGCAAAGGACCCCGGAGCCTTCCGATTGATCGCCACTTTCAGTATAAAGCTGGTTTAGTTCTGGCCTGGGACCTTTAGCAGCTAAAAGACGCTTTTCCATCCAGCCCTTTTGTCGGCCTCAAATGTCCCAAAAGCCTGGAAACTCAGACAGCAGGTGGGCAGGAGCATCAGCGCAGCCTCCCCAATGCTGGCAGGGGACCCCCAAGCCTCGGGGGCCAGATCCAGGCAAGCGGGGGGTTCGCATCCGGCCCTCGGGCCTTAAGTTCCCCGCCCCTGCGCTAGGGGAAGGGAGCTAGTGAGTAAGTTTTTGGGCAGGTAGGTTGCCGGATTGTGCAAATTCTAACACCACCAGCTAATGAGTCCTTGTCGTCTTGAGGCCTCGCCCCCTTGGAATAACTGTCTAATCGTTGCTATGA